TTTCCCTCTGGCTTTCTCCCCTTCTTCTCTAACATCTGTTTCTCTCTTCTTGGTAATGCACACATCTCTCTACCTTCCACTTTCTCCTATCTTGTCCTTCCCCCACACTTTCCTTGCTAGTAATGGCGGCCTTTTATTCAGTTCTTATATTCTGAGCACTGTGCTAAGTGCTTTTTACATATCACCTCATAATACCCTATGAGCTAAATAATAGTATATCCATTTCGCAGGTGAGGAAATTGAGACACAGATCCAGTAACTTCCCCAAGCTCAGCAGATATTCACAGGGATTTGAACTCCATTTAGCTAACCCCCAAATTAACTTCCCTTAACTGTTACAGGGTCTCTTTTCTCCCATTTCCAACTCCCCCTTGTCTTTTCCCTCTTTTTGCTCCTCCTCTCTCCCCTTCTCTCCCTCCCTTCTCTCTGACACTCGCCACATCCTGGCCTTCACATGTGTGCTGATGACCCTGAAGGTGCTGAACACTGTACACGTGCCCAGAAGGGATCACAGACCATTCAGACTCTTATCTAATCAGCCATTTTCCTTTTGGACTAACGCTCCACAATTTTCCACTTTTGGAGGCGATGGAGGGGGCCCTTCATCATGTGAGGAAAAGGGCAAATGTCTGATCACAAACCAGAGGAAAGGGCTCAAGACTTGGAAGGGTCTTTGATATGGAAGGGAACAGAGATAAGGCCCTTTCCGCTTACTCGCGGACTCTCTCATTCCCAGGGACTCTGTGTACTCTCAGGGTTGGGGAGTGGAGGGCTGGGAGAAGACAGAGCCGGGAGTCTGGTCTCTGTCAAGGTATCAACTCAGAAGCCAAAGCCTGGACTGTGAAATATGGAAACTCGCCCTGTCCCTCCTCATATGCATAAGGATAGGAACTGGGATAGGATAGGAATCAGGGGCACATTGGCAGCAAAGATATGAAGGTTAAACTTTGAACTTGACAACCTCTAAGGTCCCAGAATCTGAGGTTTTAAGATTCCAAGAGAATATTTACCTTCAATTCCCCCCCGGCCTTTTTATTTTGGTCATTCTGTTGATTAGGACTGGTTGATTGAAGGCTTAAGCCATCAGGACATTTATTGTTCAACAAATAAGAATTCTGGAGGTAGAAGGTTCAAGAGTTGATTCAGAAGCCTCAGGACACTGGTTGGCATTTCTGAGATTCTCTGGGAAGCTTCAGGCATCTTGACTCACACAAACTGTCCACAGGCAGGAAGTCGTGGGGGTGAAGAGGACTTCAAGTGAGGCTCTATTTACTGGGGGATGGAAAAACATTTTCTAGAGCACTCCTTCCACATCAGATTCTCCCCACACCTCACAGACCAGAATTAACTGCAGTGGAGGCTGAGAAAGTGATAGCTGGCCTTCTCACCCTGCTTATGGGACACAGCAAGGAACAGGGGATTGGCTTGCCACCGGGTAGAAAACACCAGTGCCTGCCACCCCCTCCTTCATTCACTCAACTAAGATTTACTGAGTACCCACTCTGGGCCGGGTGATGATGGTACAGAGGACAAGAGAATTCCTGTTCTCAAGGAGCCCCTACTGGAAGAACACAGACAGGCAGAGGATCACAAAACAAGATGGCGAGTGCTAGGAGAGGACTGAGGGTCCCCAGGGCCACCACAGAGCTGAAGATGCTCAGCTTGAGGAAGCAGGCAGGGCTGGAAAAGCAATGACTGGGTTAAGTTTTGAAGGGTAAATAGGATTCAGCCAGAGGTGAGGGAGCATGTAGGAGGTGGCTGAGAGGAGAGCATTTGGGAACCTTCCAGGACTTGACATGCTGGACACGGCAAAGGCAACTGAAGGGGACAGGCAGGAAATGAGCATGCCAGGACCTGAGGAGGGAAGGTTCTGTGTGGGGCTTAAAGGTTTGGGGCGTTTATTCTGGATGTGTGGGTGAGCAGGTCTGTGTGTGGGAACCTCTGTCTGCAGAAAGACAAGCTGAGCTGTCCGGCTGGAATGGCTGCACTGCAGTGAAGTGTAGATCAGCACTGCCAGCTGCTAACCAGCTGGGGGAACCTGTGAAACCTTTGAATGTTTTTGTTTGCCACCTCCCGATAGAGTTGGCCCATGCTGGATGGCTCTGATCGTTATTGAAATAGAAATAGAAACAGAAAATGCTTCCTAAGGGGCCAAATTTGCCTCTCCCACCCTCATCTTTTTCTCTTCCACCTAGTTCTGGCCTCTGGAGTCAGAAAAAAATATATATATTTTTTCCACCTGACAGCAGCTCAAACATATGGAACACGTGAATTATGATTTTCAGCATATCACATACCTCATCTCATTTAACCCTCAAAGTCCTCTGGTGTAGCTATTCCCATTTTACAGACAAGGAAACAGACTCAGTGAGGTAAATGTCCAGAGTCACATTTGCAGGTTCCTGTCTTGTGTTCTTTCCACTACTCCAGTGTTTCTCGGGTGAGGTCCTTGCACTGCCTGCATCAGAATAACCTAGGCTGCTTGCTGCAAATCCAGATTCCTGGGGGCCATCCCAGACCTCCTGGAGTAGAATCTCTGGAGGTAACAGCACAGAATCCACATTATAACACACATCTCAGGTGATTTCTAGATCCATTAAAGCGTGGGAATCATGCTCTAATCTTGCTATCATGACTACTTTGAGTCTTCTCTTTCATTTTTGCTGCGGGTGGGGGAGGAGGAAGAGAGCTTTTTAGGTGATTCTGACTTCTAAGCTGCACTCTCTTAAGGGACGCATTGGTATGGGTCAATGGAATCACAGAGCATGACTGGACCTTCCAGACGTTTGTAGAAAGCATCCCTCTGTTTCTCTCTCTCTGTCCCATTTGCAGGAGTCTTGGCGTCTGTCTTCTGCTGAGCCAAGATGGGTGACTGGAGCTTCCTGGGAGAGTTCCTGGAGGAAGCACACAAGCATTCCACGGTGATCGGTAAGGTCTGGCTCACCGTCCTCTTCATATTCCGCATGCTGGTGCTGGGCACGGCTGCCGAGTCCTCCTGGGGGGACGAGCAGGCTGATTTCCAGTGTGATACGATTCAGCCTGGTTGCGAGAACGTCTGCTATGACCAAGCCTTCCCCATCTCGCACATTCGCTATTGGGTGCTGCAGGTCATCTTCGTCTCCACACCCTCTCTAGTGTACTTGGGCCACGCCGTGCACACGGTGCGCATGCAGGAGAAGCGGAAGCTACGGGAGGGCGAGAGGGCCAAAGAGGTTCGGGGCGCTGCCTCTTACGAGTACCCAGTGGCCGAGAAGACAGAGCTGTCCTGCTGGGAAGAAGTGAATGGAAAGATTCCGCTCCAGGGCAGTCTGCTCAACACTTACGTCTGCAGCATCCTGATCCGCACCACCGTGGAGGTGGCCTTCATTGTGGGCCAGTACCTCCTCTATGGCATCTTCCTGGACACCCTGCACGTCTGCCGCAGGAGTCCCTGTCCCCATCCTGTCAACTGTTATGTGTCCCGGCCCACGGAGAAGAATGTCTTCATTGTCTTTATGCTGGCTGTGGCCGGACTGTCCCTTTTCCTCAGCCTTGCTGAACTGTACCACCTGGGCTGGAAAAAGATCAGACAGCGATTTGTCAAGTCACAGCAGGGCATGGATGAGTGCCAGCTTCCTGGTCCCTCTGCCCGCATAGTCAAGAGCTGCACACCACCCCCTGACTTCAATCAGTGCCTGGAGAATGGCCCTGGGGGGAAATTCTTCAATCCATTCAGTAACAAGATGGCCTCTCAGCAGAACACAGATAACCTGGCCACCGAGCAAGTGCGAGGCCAGGAGCAGATTCCTGGAGAGGGTTTCATTCATATCCGTTATGCCCAGAAGCCTGAGGTACCCAATGAAGGCTCCCCAGGTCACCGCCTCCCCCATGGCTACCAGAGTGACAAGCGCCGTCTCAGCAAGGCCAGCAGCAAGGCCCGGTCAGATGACCTATCCGTGTGACCCACCGGTGTGGCGGAACCAGGACCAGGTGGGAACAAAGGAGGCTCAGAGAGGGAAGGTGTGTCCCTTCTGACCCCATCTCTCCCATTCTCATCACTGCTCTACTCAGTTTGGGCCCTGGATCTCAATGGCATTGCTCATTTTTTCCAGAAGCTATGACCAGGTCTTTGTGGGTGCAGTAAGAGACATGGCTACCTACCCAGGCTCCTTCACCCTCCACTCAGAATCCTCAGTGAAGCCTTTCATATTACTCAGTGAATGGGATAGAGGAAGGGATGGGGACCATGGCAAATCTGACCTGGGAGGGACAGCCAGGGGGATAGGATGACTCTCTACATACCAGCCACACACCAGATGGATTCTCTAAGCCCCTCTGGCATCGTTGACCCGATCACCCTTCCTGCTGCAAGGAAGAGCCCAAAGTTCCCGGCCAGCAATGAGCATGAATCAAGGAATTTGCATTATATGTGCTCTTGAATCTGTAGTCTCCTTGGACCATGCCTTGGGGTGGTGGTCAGGTCGCCATGGGATGCCCTTGGCTGCCCCTCCCTCTACCCAGTCTTACTTAAAAAGAGGCCCTTAGAACTCTACCAGCAACCTCAACTTTACAAGTGCCTTGGTATGTACCTCTGGCAAATGTCTCACCTTGGTGATGTTGCAGCCTTTCCTTCTGCCAGGGTGTACAATGAGCCCGGGGAGGGGGTTTGAAAAGCTCTCCTAGGGAGTCACTGTGCACACTGACTCCACTGGCATTCCTGCCACCACGTATCAACCTGCAGCTCTTTTAGAGTTCAACCTGATGGTAGAAACCATCCCTTCCAGTCCTCCCTTGGCTGTCCATCCAGTGCTCCCCTAAAAACCTTATTGACCAGAATGCCCAAGAAGCCATCATCCTCTCTCACATTCTGACCAGATCACCAGCCATGGAGGCCAGTGGAATTTCCCCAGGTCTTATGAAAACAAAGAGGGCATTGTGCTTCTCAGATTCCCCTTGGGAAAAAAAATAATTCTGCTGTGAAGATAAAAATGAAAAAGGAGAGAAAATACTGGAAAACTATTTTTCCCTCCTGTTTGCTTCCCTTGCTGACTGCCAGCTTAGAGTGCCAAGAGGAGGTGTGATGACAACTATGGAGGCCCCCATATCTCTCTTACCCTGGAGGATTTAGCAGGGGCATGAAAGCAGAAAGGGAATCTCCAGCTCTCTTGGCAGGGCCCTTGTTTAAGAGCACAGAGATGCCTGTGTCTCCCCAGTGCTCCTAAAGAGACTGCCAAAAAAGCAGTGGGGACTACAGAAAAGCCCTGCCTTCCCAGGGACTGGCCAAGTTTCTCTCTTCAGTCCATCTGTAATAGGTGGTTGCCATTTTGGATGAAGGTAAAGGATGCTCAGAAGTGGATGCCGAAACTTATAGGGAGACAGTTACTTTTTAAGATGCATGTGTGGGTTTGTGTGTGTATGTATATGCTGATAAGCTGGGCGAAAGGGAGGGAAGTCCTGAAGTAAGGAAAGCATGCCTTAGAGACACTTGTGTCTTCCTGCCCTTTCCTCCAGATGCCTGGCAGAGGGGCTGAGCCTCACTGTTTTCAGTGTCATTAACCTAAATAGATAAGCATGAGAGGTCGGGACAGAGGAGGCTGAAGCCTCAGAAGGAAGCTTCAGCCTCTGCCCCACCTGCCCATCTCTGGGCCCCTCAGCTGATACTTGGTTGTTATTGGTGGGTGGAGAGAAGGATGAGGGTAGAGGGGTGGAGGAAACTGACTGCGGTGCCACTTAGGGAAGAATGACTGGTCATCCCAGATCCCTGGAAGGGACACCTTTTAATCTATTCTCTGGCACTGGCATTAGGACTCTCTCTCCAAAACAAAGCAAAAAAGACTCTTTCCTTCCATCTCTGAAGTGTGTTTGTTTTGTGAAATGAGTGTTCTTGGATTAGAAATTCTGTGAGATCAGTCCTGATGATGGGGCTTTCAGGAAGGAAAAAGGAAATAATATGTGTAGTTTGTCCTAATAAAGTCTGGCCCTACATTTATCTCTCCTTTGTGTCCCTTTCATGCTGTGACTACAAGAGAAGGATGGCAGACTTGGTGGGGGAGGGGAGCACTTGGAGCCAGTCACCAGTCAATCAGTATTGCAAAGAGCTTTGGAATCACACATGCCAGAGTGAAAATCCCAGCTGCTGATTTACAGCTGGACTCCAGCAAGCTACTTAATCTCTGAAGCTTGGTTTTCTCATCTGTAAACTGAACCTAGTAATATCTACCTCATAGGTTGTTAAATGAGATACTATTTATAAAGAGTACAGCAGAGTGCCTGGGAAATAATAGTCTGTCATTAAATGGTTATTATTGTTATTATCTTCATTATTTTTGTTGCTATGTTGAATACATAGTATTTGAAAACCTGGGATGTTGAGGGATGGTTACAGAACTTGCCTTTATGGAGCTCACAGTCTGCCTAAGATGATCAACTAAACCACATAGAAGAAACAATTAGAATAGAATGAAATAGGAATTCATTGATGATCAATTCTAGGAACTATAAGGCTCCAGGAAGTGATACATATGAAAATACTACATAGAAGAGGACAGACCTGACCTGAGCCTTAAAGAGTGGCTAAGGTTTTAGAGAAGTGAAGACCTCAAAGATGACGCTGTGAAATAGGTCTGGGTATCCCCATTTTACAGACATGGAAGCCGAGCTCCAGGAAGTTTCTCTGACAGTGGGCAGCTTCTCACTGGCTTCTTTGGGTGAAATCTCATCTCTTTGGAAGAGTAAAAATGATTCTTGCTCCAAACAAAGGGTCCAGGGACCACTCAGTACTTCACCAGCAAATGGGTGCCATTTCCTAGAGAAAGAAACAAAGGCTGGGAAAAAAAACAAATGGAAGTATTATCTGAACTGCCAAGTGGTCTTGTCTATCAGGGCAGGAAAGCTCTTATAGGGACTTCCCTGGTCGTCCAGTGATTAAGAATCCATTTTGCAATGCAGGGGACTCAAGTTTGATCTCTGGTCAGGGAACTAAGATCCCACTTGCTGCAGGGCAACTAAGCCCACGTGCTGCAACTACTGAGCCTGCGCGCCACAGGTAGAGAGAAGCCCACACACCACAATGAAGACCCAATGCAGCCAATAAATAAAAAAATATTTTTTTAAAAAAGAAAGCTCTTGTAAATAGGGCTAGCAAAGGGGTCATAGAACACATCTTGTGACACCAGTGTTGAGATTCAAGGGTGTTCCTAACATCTGGCATCTATCCAAGGGAAAGGTGCTCAGCCCAAATGTGCCAGAGCAGTCTAACTGGAAAAAGCACCTGGGATCCATTTTTCTTCCTAGAAAAGAAGTAGAGAATCTCATGGTTTTATAAACATAGCTATTAACATTTGACAGTTTGTGTAACACCGAGACTGCAAAAGTCAAGGGACTTATTTCATAGTGAGTAAGATTTCAACCTCATGTATCTACTCTCATTTTATTTCCTTGCCCTCTCTAAATGTTCACCACTAAAGAGGTAAGCTGAGTACTAATCTAATGAATACACTTTGGGTTGTAGGCTCCTACAGGCCCCTTTCCTTAATTCCCTTCCTCCAGTGCCAGATAAGACCAGAATTTCTACCACTAGTGTTTCATTCCTATGGCTGAAGTGTTTAAGTGGTTAATGCTAATAACACTGCTATGAAGAATCATATTATGAATGAGTTTTCAGATTTCTTCTTAATAGCAAATTTTGATAGCAGAGGGAAAAACGAAAGAACAAGGGCACCAGGTACTTGGCAGGTGTCTTGAAGGATTGCTTTCATGACGTAGAAATGAAGAAAACAGCAAGACTAAAGAGGGGAGCCAAAGATAAGCTGCCCACTTCCCAGTCCCCGGTAGATCCTGGAAGCACCTACATTTAAGTCCATGATTTGGCCCTTACTGTCCATGTATTGGACAAACAAATTTACAAATGACAGCTACGTAAATAGAACACGATCGATAGTTTATCCCCAGTGGTCACCTGATGGTCAGCAGAGATGGGTATGGTCTATAGTTTTTTATTGTCATTTCAACTGGAAAAGAGAAAAACTTGCATTCAACGAATACTTATTGAGCACCTACTTTGAAGTGGCACTCTGTTGGGCATTAGGAATACAATTTTATAAAAAGGTACGGTTCCCTCCTTTTGGAGCTTATAGCCTAGTGGGGAAGACTCCCTCACACAAGTAAATGAACAAAATAATTACAGATTGTGATAAGTGCCTAGAAAGAAACAGACTGGGGGGCGGGGTAGCTAACAAAGGTGGAGGGAGAGAACTTCTTCAGATAGGATGGGCGGAAAGACGTTTCTGAGGAGGTAATTTGAGGCTGAAATCTGACGGCTGAGAAGGAGCCAGCTACTAATGAGTAGGAGAAGAACCCAGGTAGGGGAACCCAAATTCCTTCCAGGAAACTGCAGAATCCAGCTGTCCCTGACCTCAATCTGGTCCAGCATTTTTGAAAGACATAATTCAAGCAGCACATAGATAGCACCTAAAACAACACTGTTGGACACCAACTGCTGCAAAACACACCAAGCCTCAAGGGACAGAGAAGTCTTTTTGCTCAGAGAAGCAAAAGGAACATATAAAAGGTCTTAATTAAAACAACTGAATATCATATGTTAACATTCTAGAAAGCCCTACTTGATGTTGCAACTATTATTTCCATCAGTATCAATTCTTGTAACATACTTGGGGCCTTCTAAACTAGGCCTGTTTCCTAGAGTCCAGGCTGGTAGGCAGAAGACTGTGTCCAAAGGGGCTCGGAAGGAGCCAGCAAGGCGTGGTCCAGAGGAGCCTTGGCATCAGAGGAGTCAAAACAGCAAAACATCAAGTGCACAGAGAGGGGGAAGTGAGGAGGGAGGGGGAGCATCCGCAGGGAAGCCAGGCTACGGCAGCCGTGCAAGACGCTGGTCAGGCAGGCACCGCTGGGGACATCTCTCCACTGGATCTGGATTTGGAGCTAAACCTCCAGACTCAGAGGA